ATAGATAGATAGATAGATAGATAGATAGATAGATAGATAGATAGATAGATAGATAATTCTAGATAGATTTTCTTTCCCTGTATTTTATTTTTTGATTTTATTTCTGTATTGTAAGCCGCCCAAAGTCCTACGGGATTGGGCTGCATATAAATGTTATTAAACTCGAAACTAGAGTTATAGATATATAATACACATACATATATATATACGTACATACATATAACCGGAAAAGCCCCTACCTTTGGGAATCTAAGTGTTGAATGATGAGAAACAATAGTAAAAAAATAAAGCAGGAAGACTGTTCAAAATACATGTATTTTTCCTCGATGTATTCTACAAAGGCAGCAGTACCTCGAAATCCTACAGCACTATATCATTATTAATATGCAAAACTTGCATCTCTGAATTGACTTCACTTAAGACAACAGTTGAACTTACTTCCGAGGACTAGGCTGATACTTATTGGGCAAGTTTAACTGGTTTCAGCGCAACGTAGCCCTCTGCGGGTAGACTGCCAAATGAACCCTTGGGGATTCACGGGGGTTTATTGTTAGGCCAACGTGTGCAGAGCCGAAGGCAATTGCGAGGCAGGAAGCAACTCAATACGGGCAAAGAAAGGCCGCTTTCTTATCGCGGGCGGCCAGACCCACCACATCCGGGTCTTCCCAGAGGCAGCCGGGAAGGGCCTATCAGCGAGAGGTTTCTGCACCTGCGCATCGAGACCGGCGAGACCCACAGAGAAACTCCTAGAGTAGTTGCGAAAAATCGTAGTAAAATAATAATAGCACCTTTCTCCATTCAATAAAAGTTCGCCAACGATATTTAAATAAGTCTCCTACGGATCCGTGTTTGGGTAACTGAACATCTGAACCGCCAACTCCTGTAAACCAATCCTCGCAGGTCCTTCGATCAACGGCTTTGGCCATGCTGAAAAAACCGGGGTGTCACGGCAGCCCGCTTGTTCTTTATTTCCAATGCGTCATTGTCAGTTCCTGTCTTCAACATCCGGGCAATTGAGCCCGTTGGCGCCATCTTGATTCCCGATACGTACAGCGGCCGCCATCTTGGTTGCTTTTTCGGTCACCCCCATCCGCTAGAGATATCAGCTGGCGCCATTTTGGGGGCTGTATAGCAATTCGCATAGGGCAAGCGATTGTATATTTCTATTATCCGGTGATTTAAAATAAAATTTGGTTTAATCGGGAAAACACACCAGGAACGTAACACCGAGGTTTCTTGAGTCTAACGAAGCCGTTTTTGCCGAGGGTTCTGCCCATCCGGGTATTTAGGAGGCAGCCATCTTGAATGCGTATATATTTCCGCACCATCCGGGAATACAGGAATCGCCATGTTGAATCTCACATAACACAGGGCGGCGACATACGGGCATTGGAGAAGGACGCCATTTTAATGCTCGAAAGGGAGGGAAATACATCCGGGAACTTAATAGGACATTTGAGTGTGTTGCGTGCGCTTTTTTTTTTTATTGGAATAGTAATAGCAAAGGGGAGGATCCAAAATGGCAGCTTCCAGATAAAGCATGAAACCTGAATTTTATCATCATTCCCGATATTATATAAACCTGCCTAATTCCGAATCGTGTTATTTAATTCCTTGAAATTCGGGATAAGATTCAGGACCAGAAATATTTATAAGAAATCAAGATCGCTTTGGCGGAAAAGAGATGCAGGTGCATTACTGAGCATGAGTAGGTCACGGGTACTGTCTTAACCGCTGGATGACACGCGAGCATCCAATAAATATTATTCACGTGCATCCACGAAACGAGCGCAGCGTCAATTTTTACCCCCAAAGATGGCGGCGCCCATAAGCGTTGCTATGCAGTGAAACACTCGCTGAGAGGCGGAGGCGTATCGCACCTCCCCCAAAGCACTCGTGGCCGGTACTAGCGGCGAGGCCGGTCATTGGTGGAGCTGGTTTTTTTAAAATGCAAGAGGGGCGGAGTTTTGCATTCAAAATGGAAACACACACATAACATTCGGAGAGTTTACACAGCTTAGAGCCGGGAGAGACGCTGACAACCGTCTTGAGGGCCGAATAATAATAATAATAATAAAAAGCGCGGTGAAGCTGGCCAAGAATTTCCCCTCCGTACGCATCGCAAAAGACAGAAAGGGACTTGGCGGTCCCCCAACATGGCGATGCCCAAGCAGCCCTGCCCACCGAAAATGGCGGCGCCCTAGTGGGAGGGGTTCCGTACAGAGGGCCTCGCTTTGGCTCCGCCTCCAGACGCTGCCGAGGAAGAGAGACTCCTCACAGGCGCAAGATGGCGGCTCCCAGGGCGGCGTGAAGGCGCCTGGAGCCCGTACCTTGCCCGTCGGTGCCGTACAGCGGGGCTGGATCGAGCTGCCCGTTGCGCTTGGAAGCCGGACGGAGAGCGCCCTGGCTTAGAACTCCGGGCTGGGGAGTAGGCAGGATCAGCGGGGAAGACGCGCCGGGTGGGGGGACGAGGGGAGGCGGCTTCTCCCTCTCTGCGGCCGCCATTTTCCGTCCGGGCAACACAAGATGGCGGCTCCCAGGGCCGGGCTCTGAGCGGGGGCCGGAGGGGGGCGGCAGAGGGGCCCTGTTACGAGGGGGGAGGAGTAACTGCCCCACGCGGGGTAATTCCCTCGCAGGGGGAATTGGTGTTGGTTTTGAAAAAGGCAGGAGGCAATTGGGGGGATTTTGTATTAGCCCCCCTCTCTTATTGCAAGGGTGGGTGTCTGCTCCATAGAGAATTCCGGTCGTGGTGGTGGTGGCGGGGGGGGAGAAATACGGTCACCGAAACTCATTATCGGCAAAGGGAGCCTTAGGAGTTTTCCAGCAACGGGGAATATATGCCTCTAAGCTGGGACTGCCTCACGAAATAAAAAAAAAGGGCAGCTACTTGTCCCGCCAAGAGTTTTAATTTTGGGGGGGGGGGAGGAGCGGAGGATTTTTTTTTTTACTTTTCTTTTTCACAACTCCTCCGAATTAAGTTTGTTTGCAGCCAAAGAGGTGGCTGCGACCCGGTGCCCGCGGTGAGGGGCTGGGGGGGTTTGTTCTCGGTAGTTAGAAGAACCGTGGGGCGCCTTGCCTCACTGGGGAGTTGCTCTCGTCCTCCGAAGAAAGTAAAAAAAAAGCTTCGGTGGTTGCTTCCACGAAACGAGTCTTACCTCGAGAGAGAGAGGTAGACTGCATGTGGCTTGGGGGGATCTTTTTTTTGAGCCGCCGCTTGTGGGGGAAATAAGGAAGCCCTTAAACAAGCCCGTTGCTGTTGTTTGGTTGCTAGAAAGCGGGGTGGGGGGGATACTTATTGAGAGTTAGGAGGTGCTTTCTATGGCCTCTCCTGTTGTCCCTAGTGGGGGCTCCCCAACAGGTGGCGGGGCCGCTGCAGGGCTGCTGCAGCCCCGCTGGAAACGTGTGATTGGGTGGTCAGGCCCTGTGCCTCGGCCCCGACATGGACACAGAGCGGTGGCAATCAAAGAGCTGATTGTGGTCTTCGGAGGGGGCAATGAGGGCATCGTGGATGAGTTGCATGTCTATAATACAGGTAAGGGGGGGGAGGCTGAACGGGCAACAGTATTTAGGGTATTGGTAGGACCAGGGCATGACCCCCACTTTGGGGTCCATTGGGCAAAGAAAGATCGACTCTTAATTGGTCCCAGAGTTGATTTAGTTCTCCCATGAACATATGATCTCCAATACCTCTTTTATAGAGAGGAAAATAAAAAGTATCTGCAACTACTGTTCAATATTAGTTTCTATAAGACTCATGACATTTGCTTTAACGGCTTTCATTTTCTCAAAAGTGATGGGTGCATGGAAACAAGGGATAGAGGAGAGATCTGTAAAGGTGAAACAATGGTAAAGTCTTGTTTCTCTTGAATTTTCTTCAGCCTGTTTTCAATGCGATAAACTGGCATGTGTGTGCCTTGGAACGGCTTCCATTAGATGGAATCCAGCACCTTCACTTTGGAGACTTCCCCCCCCCCCGATTTACATGCTTTGTTGTGTACGAAATGATTTTATGCTTGTAGAAAGGACCTAAAAGCAACGTTTTTTTGCGAAATCAGACTATATCAGCAGCGTTCCTCAGGATTATTTTGTCAAAACCATCATCAGTCCCACAACAATGTGGGAGGTGGAGGAATGAATAGTTGGCAAAAAGAGAAAGATCTCTGCCAGCTTGATAGCGGGGGGGGGGGGGGGAAGAGATCTAGAGAACTATCCATCAATGAAGCCTGTGAACCAATTTTGAACATAGCGCAGGGTGCTTTAAGGACACAAAGTTCTTGCGCTTCCATATTAACCTGGCGCTTTGTGAGTAGCCGTGCAATTTTGCCTCGCATCGTAATGTTCTCTCTCCTCCCGGTGTTTAATACACTATTTTCCCCTCATGCACTCTCAAGTGCACTCATGTGATGAGATGGCGGGGCAGTGCTAGAAGGAGCTTTTCTTCCCCAAAGACTTGGCGCCTAAAATTTAACTTCCGAATGCTACAGCTTTTAACTCTTTGTTTGCCTGTTTTTCCCTCTTTGGCTTGGATGCATAAGAATGCAGTTGAACTGGGGCTGACAGTAATGCTGTGGTAGGGAGCGAATGCTGGAACATTTCACCTTATAGCTAATTGGCGGGGGGGTCAGTTTATCTTGAGTACCAAACTATTTGTTTCCTATAATCTCAATTCTAGTTGGAAATTGCCTAAAATAATTAAGCACCCTGGGTTTATTTCTAGTGCCAATTGGAAAAGTTCTGCTCCTACATATATATGCCAACCCTAGCCTTTATATTTTTAATTAAAGGTTAGTTAAAGGTTTATAAATTGAGAAGGGGAGGTCTAAATAGATGGTCTCAAGCCTGATGGTGTTTATCTAGACTGCTTTGGATACATTCCAGGAGACCAGTTTGACAGTAGAGTTAGCACAGTTTTTCTAGAGAAAGCGGGTTGATTGGTAAAGACAGGACTTGGTTTACCCGCCTCATTCTAGCTTTCAGTCCCGGTAACATGCCACAGTAAGTTAAGACATATATTCGGTCAGTAAGGGAAATGATAAAAGTAACCTTGCCAGTGTAAAGTTGCAGAGGATAGTTACAAATGAAGATACTAGCTTTGAGAATTAAATGGAAGAATTCAGGGTTTCACATTGTTAATGAACTTGTATGTCATTGAAACCTAACCTTTTTTTAAAAAACTATGGAACTTTTAAAATAGACATAAATGAGAAAGGGCATAATAAATTTAGGCTCATTGTGTATTCTGAAAAAAAAATTCAAACTCAATTTTTTTAAAAAAAAAGTCAAAGCAGAAAAATTTGCTTTTAACAAAAGTATTGTATTAATTTTTCTTTGAAATTGGCATTTCCTTTTCTTGCATGAGTAAAAGGTTCCCTCTTAGAAAATGCATTCTTGAATTCAATATCATACGGTATAGATTCTTTTGCTTTTAAATTGTGTATTGTTATGTTCGTCTTTTTTATCCCTTGTCTGTACCCCCTTCCCTGACTTGGATTGTGAGTCGCCCTGAGTCCCCTTCGGGGGAAAAGGGCGGCATATAAATGCAATAAATTCCAATTCCAATTTCTGCTCTTTGTATCTTTAGTGCTTTCATGCCACTGCTGTGTTGCTGCAAACACAGCCCTTGAGTCAAACAATATAAAGTATATTTTACTAACTAACAAGTCAAGTACTTGCCCCCAAAAAGTTTGAAGAAGTGCTAGGGAGGCCTGTCAAAATCCCAGTAAGTGCCAGTACAACGCCGGCTAAACAGAAGGGGCTATAACTAGTTAAGTCCAAGAATAAATATGTGGAATGAAGCAGTATATTGGCTGGCAAGCACATGCAGAAGGGAGTAATGCCTTCCTCCTCCACTTTTAATGTCAGCCGCAGCATCTAGATATCCTGTGGTTCGGAGAGTCCTCTTACTATGTAACTAGAGCTGGACAGAAGTGGGTGGGTCTCAGCTTCCTGATTGGCAGCTGCCTCATCTCTCATCTCCTGATAGGTTGCTTCCTCTTGCCTGCTTATTGTAAACAGTTAGGCGCTCATGCCTCTTACTGCTATCTGCTGCATTAATCCGGACAGTTGTCCCAGAGCAGGAAGGAAGGTTTTCTTTTCTCTGACATCCTTTACTATCACAGGCTGCTTCCTTTATTTTATGCTCTCTCAATTTAGATTATAGCTATCCTGAAAGACGGCCTTTTTTTTTTGGAAGCATCCGGTGTAAAGCAGAATTGTTAGTTGAGAGAGCAAACAAGAATATAATTGCAATGATGGCCATCTCATTTTCACCACACACAAAAATAGCTTCTGTATTGAGTGTGTATAGTTCCGATTTTTGTAGAGCTTCAGTTAAAGTATCAGTTAGGAGAGAAAGAGTGAAATCCCAACTGTCCAGCCCTGAGTTGCTTCCAGAATGTTGTCACATGAAGCTCTATTGTATTTGAAAGTAAGCTGTCCTTCATATTTCTTTCTTTTTTTCCCCCAGCTACAAACCAGTGGTTCATCCCAGCTGTGCGTGGAGACATTCCACCTGGTTGTGCTGCATATGGTTTTGTTTGTGATGGGACTCGTCTCCTGGTATTTGGTGGAATGGTTGAATATGGCAAGTACAGCAATGATCTGTATGAATTGCAGGTGAGTGCTTGCCAACTTAGTTCTTTATCTTAATTTGCCTTGCTTGCTTAGATTAATAATACTTCGATCCTTTATTATTCTAGGCCAGTCGTTGGGAATGGAAGAGACTCAAGGCCAAGATGCCCAAGAATGGGCCCACACCATGTCCACGCCTTGGACATAGCTTCTCATTGGTGGGCAACAAGTGTTACCTTTTTGGAGGATTGGCCAATGACAGTGAAGATCCTAAGAATAACATTCCCAGGTACATTGACTTTTTGCCAGTTTAGATCAGAAGAAACAAGTTTTGTACAATGTTGTAATGAATCATGTTACCTTTTGTTTTACCTTTTTTTCCAGTTTTTAAGAAAATATTCCAAGTGGTATCAAAAACAAAACACAAAAAACCCAAGATTGCTACAATTTCTCACCTGGCTTTCACATGTTCTCTCACTCTCTTTTTTACAGGTACCTAAATGACCTCTATAACTTGGAGCTGCGGCCAGGATCTGGTGTGGGGTCCTGGGACATTCCCATCACCTATGGTGTATTGCCTCCACCACGAGAATCCCATACAGCTGTGGTCTACACAGAAAAAGACAGCAAAAAGTCCAAATTGGTCATATACGGGGGCATGAGTGGTTGTCGTCTTGGTGATCTCTGGACACTTGATATCGGTAAAAGCAACGAAGTTGAGTGGGGACAGATTTTAAACAGGCTTTTAGATAGATCAGGTCCTAGGACACAACAATTTTAGTTCTGTCCAAGTGCTAGCCAGTTTGTATATGTACTGTGCCTTAGAACAGTGGTCTCCAACCTTGGCAACTTTAAGACCTGTGGACTTCAACTCCCAGAGTTCCTCCGCCAGCAAAGCTGGCTGAGGGAATCTGGGAGTTGAAGTCCACAAGTCTTAAAGTTGCCAAGGTTGGAGACCACTGCCT